CGCGTCAGGCCGCAGCGTGTGCATCGCGTCAGGCCGCAGCGTGCGCATCGCGTCAGGCCGCAGCGTGCGCATCGCGTCAGGCCGCAGCGTGTGTATCGCGTCAGGCTGCAGCGTGTGTATCGCGTCAGGCTGCAGTGTGCGCATCGCGTCAGGCCGCAGTGTGCGTATCGCGTCAGGCCGCAGATATATATCGCGTCAAGCCGCAGTGTGCGCATCGCGTCAAGCCGCAGTGTGCGCATCGCGTCAGGCTGCAGTGTGCGCATCGCGTCAGGCCGCAGTGTGCGTATCGCGTCAGGCCGCAGATATATATCGCGTCAAGCCGCAGTGTGCGCATCGCGTCAGGCTGCAGTGTGCGCATCGCGTCAGGCCGCAGCGTGTGTATCGCGTCAGGCTGCAGTGTGCGCATCGCGTCAGGCCGCAGTGTGCGCATCGCGTCAGGCCGCAGTGTGCGCATCGCGTCAGGCCGCAGCGTGTGTATCGCTCGCTTCTGTGTGAGAAGTGCAGCGCGCCGACTCCGTGTCGCGGGGGAGGAAGCGTGGGCGACGCGTTTTGCTTCCTCTCCTCCTCCTCTTTCTCCTCCTCCACTTCCTCCACCTCTTCCTCCTCCTCCTCTTCCTCCTCCCATGAACGAGCGGTGCCGATGCTGACACTGCTGCTGATGGTGATGATGATGATGGTGGGGGTGGTGGTGGTGGTGCTGCTGCTGCTTCTGCTGCTGCTGCTGCTGTTGTTGCTGCTGCTGCGACATCCATGCGCGACGCACGCGCGCACCACTGTCTGTGGCTGCGGCAAGATGAGCTGGTCTAGATGGCACGGCTCGATTGATCAGCCAGCAACAACCAGTCTGTGGTCGGCTGCTGAAGAGAGGAGAGGGGAGGAAGAGAGAGCGGGGAGCGAGCGCGCGAGAGAGAAATGCAGATAAGAGTTGGGGGAAGCGCGCGCTTGATGGAGAGACAGAGAGAGAGAGAGAGGGGGGGGGAAGGGGGCAAAAATAGATAAACTAGCGAGACACAGAGAGAGAGAGAGATAGAGAGAGCGCGCGAAATAGAAAGAGAGATAGAGAGAGAGATAGAGAGAGCGCGAAATAGAAAGAGAGAGAGAGAGGGAGAGAGAGAGAGAGAGCGAGGAGGCCGACGGAGAGAGAGAGAGAGAGGAGGGGGAGAGAGAGAGAGAGAGAGGGAGAGAGGGAGAGGAGAGAAGAGAGAGAGAGAGAGGAGAGAGAGAGAGAGAGAGAGAGAGAGATAGAAGTAGAAATAGAGATAGACGAGGGGAAGTGAAAGGGGGAGAGAGAGAAGACAGAGACAGAGATAGAGAGAGAGAGGGAGGAGGAGAGGGGGAGAGAGAGAGAGACAGAGACAGAGATAGAGAGAGAGGGAGGAGGAGAGGTAGAAGCTCCGACAGCTATGTCATCACGTGGCAACGCGTTGCACTATCCCTCGGCGGTGAGTGCACGTCTCGTCGCCATGGAAACGCCGCTCGGCACACGCACGGTGTCGGCCGTCTTGTGCCGCAGTCGCTCGCAATCGCAGCGGCTGCTCTGGCGTGATGCTGCGAGACTATAGAGCCGATAGCAGACTGAAGCAGGGGGAGGAGTGGGAGGAGGAGGAAATAGAGAGACTAGAGAGACATACAAGTAGGGTTAATACTGAGGGAGGCAGCAGATGAGGAGGAGGGGGAAGAGGAGGGAGAGAGGGTTAATGCTGCAGGAGGCATACAGTCGTGTGTGGATAGCTAGCGTGATGAGAGTAGGGAGGGATGCGAGGGATGGGAGCT